TTGCAGTTTTCACATATAAATTATTGTCATTTAAATAAAGATTTGAAAGAAACATTTGTTCTGACTGAATATGACAGTCCTACACTTGAGTTTTGCAGAAAAGTGAGGGGTTTTCCTTCAGTTTTTTAGCATGTTCTTTCGCTTGCAAACCAAATATATTGCATGCATATCTCTTTGGCACATTGAAGGATTGGCTCAGTCCTCCTCAGGCCTCATCTGCTCAGTCGTGTCAGTGCACTTCTGTCTGCAGCTGGGGGCAGTTTCACATGTGCATTCAGTGTTCCTCTGTATCACTGTTCAGTAACACTGTATTTTCTATGATGCAGTGTGCGTGAAGGTGTGAATGTCTATATGCATGCATGTGGAACTGTGTCTTGTGTGTAAATGTGCAAATGTGCAAGTGTGTCTGCATTCAAACTGTGGGCTCACTCAACAGATGGCCTTTTCAAGCACACTCTGCTCTGGGCTCTGCAACTTGGGCCAAGAACACAAGCGCACATGTTGGATTTCTATGTTTTCGGGGGACATGACTGATTTGCATACATTCATTGATATCTGTGAAACTGATAAAAAAGACATGTTATGCAAACTGTACAACTAAAGCTAGGGTGTGTAACTCTGAAATGAACTATGTAATACAATCTAACTACGGTAGGTCTTTGCTCTCTGAATAGCTTTTCCAGACAGAAAAGTGAAAAAGAGAGGACCACCCTCCTTCAGCTATTCAGCACAATCCGTTATGTAGACTCATCAGGCTCTTTTTAAGTACGCAAAAGACCAAATATTTTCTATCAAGATGATGAAAGCAAGTTGTCAACTGTTTTCTCACAACATTTTATGATTGCAAAAATCTTTCTGTTGCAAAAAACTAAATGTTGAAAAAATCTAAATCAGTACAGACAAGAGACCCAAAAAAGGACATAGTTCGTCATTATAATAATTGTCATGCACCTAAAAGGTCTAAACTTATGATAACCAGATGTCTTGTATTGATTTTAAAGTTTGTTATGTTTTTTGAATTGCACAACATCTAAAACTAAACATGTTTTCTAGCTTGTAGGGAGCTTGTTGCACCAACTTTTCTCCATTGAGATCTTATTGGTACAACAATGGAGGCTGCAGTCCCATGCTCATGATACATTCATAATAATATAGAAGGATTTACCTCATGGCATCTTGATTTTCAGCAAATATTTTAGTCCTTACAATGTTATGAATACACACGCATACATACACACTCGCATACACACTCTCCAGCCTCCTGCATGTAGAGCAGGGGTGCTCACACTTTTTCAGCATGCGAGCTACTTATAAAAGGATCAAGTCAAAATGATCTACCTACTACAAAAATGTAAATCATATATTTCAAAAAATATTCTTTATATCTACAATGTATGTTTATGTACATGCAAAACAGCATGAGCCAATATAGCACAACACAACACAATTACCTATGTACATTTTTTGTCATTACCCGAGTTTACTCTTATGACTTGCACTGAATTGAATTGGCCAGGGAGGCATAGTCCGGAAAATTGGTGGCAACTCGCTGACAAGTTTGTCGTGGTTTTGCTTTCCTGCACTGAGCGCGGTTGTTTGCGCATGTGCAGTCACCTAAGTGTCAGTAAAACATTACTGAGTAAAACACAGATGTCATTTGACTGTGGTGCCATGTCCATGTGCCATGCCTGGTTTTTTAAATCCAAATATTTCCCCTCCTCCGTTTATAAAATAATTTGCATCCACACATCTGCGTTATCAGTCACGTTCGTAACATTCCAAACATGTGCGTCTCTTACGTCCTGTCCTGCGTTGGGGAAAAACACAGAAGTGGGCGGAGCTTTGATGCAGACGCCGGTAACGGCACTTTTACAGTCATAGAAGACACTCAGAGTAAAGCGTAAGACGTATGTTTACAAGCACTGACCCCGTCCTCAGCCCTGGTTTAGTCCTGGTTTAGTATTGGTTTAGTCCTGGTTTAGTCCTGGTTTGGTTGTTTTCGAGCGTGAGTCCCCGCGATCACTTTGCTGCTCTCTGATGTGGAGGATGTTCGCTGCTGCGAGCATCTCACAGCGGACAGTTTTTAAGGTAGTATGATCCATGCTTCAGTGATCAGAGGAATTTAGGGGGGTACTGTGGCGTGCGAGAACGCAAAACTCTGGTTATCTCTGTCTACACACAAATGCATTAACGGAGTTTTCAAAAATCTCCACTTTGCCCGGAGTTTTTTGTATATATTCGTTTAGAGTAATTTTTTATTTATTAAATGCGATCTACCAATACTACCTTTGCGATCGACTGGTAGATCGCGATCGACGTATTGAGCACCCCTGATGTAGAGCAATGCCAGGCCAATTGCATAATGAATCATGTGAGACGGAGCCCATTTATCACAAACAGAAATGTGGCTTTTGGAAATTCATCCGTTCAAATGTTTAATGGCTGGTCTCATTGGCTCTGAAGCAAAGCCAATGGCAGAATGTAGGAGGAAGTCCCCATGGATTAGTGTCTCTCTATGACCTTAATAGTATTCAATATTACTGTGAGTGTAGTTACTGGGCTATTTATCCATCTTGTTGCTAATGCTCCTGAGTTCAGATTATTTCTGTTCTTACTGTAATAGTGACGCATAGATAAATGCTTCTGTGCTATTTCATGAATAGAAATATTATGGTTTCTAAAAGGGCTGTAAGTTTATTTTTTCACATTTAAGTTGTTTGATGTATATACTACACAAAATCTTTCATAACAATGCAATGTTTACCAGAAAAAAAATCTCTTTTTTGCCTCCACAAATGTGAGCCTCTGAGAAACTGTGAATAATGCCCTTGTTTTATGACTTTATGACAAGTGCAGCTCCTTTAGGAAGTATGCATGCGGGGAGTATGCATAGTGGGAGCTTAAAGAAGTCATAGTTGTCGTCTTAAAATGTGTTTGCATACTTGTAGGAGTCACTATTTGACGTTTTAAGCTGATTAGAGAGTGATTATCCTCTTTTTTTTCTTTTCTTTTTTTTTCTATCTGAAGGGTTTATAATTCATCACAAACATATTGTAAAAGTCTGAGTGATATGTGGGCCATAGACAAACGCTCCAGGCATTAGAACGAGGATAGATAATAGATAGATTATAGATACAGCAGATGCAGAGATGGTTGACTCTCTTGCTCTCTGCCTTCCTGCCGTCGAGTCAGCAGCTCGGGAGGATGTCTGGAGTGGGCAGTTTTACTAAAAAGGATATTGCCAATTAAGACACATTTTGTTTGAACCCAACAATGTTTTTCTGTGCAGTTAGAACGGAGCAAAGCAGCCTCAGCGAGACGCCACTTCACTGTTATAGAGTTGGATCAATAAATGATGCCACAATGTTTTATAATCCACAAATGGGAGCAAATGCAAATGCGACGTCGTTTGACTTCAGCCCAAATGTCACACTTTTTCATACTGACTGGAAGCATCAATCTATATTCTGTAATGTTATGTTTTAATAGGCTATTGAGTGTAAGGCAGGCAAGGGAAGTTTATTTATACAGCATCATCCATAATATAGGGCTGCTCAAAAGACAAGAAGGGAAGTACCGGCTGAATCATTACGAATCACAGATCTTTTTTACCTTTTTACCTAGGAATAGACACAATCCTCGTATGACCAGCTAAACAGCACTTGTGTAACTCTACAGTATATAGGATTAATACTCGGATTGTTTCCAAGCATGTGATTCTATTTCAGGAGGATCAAAAGTGTACCACCAAATGCAGCTTCAATCCTTCCAAAAGCCACATACAAACTTGTGTAAAGAATTTTGTTCAGAATCGCATTTATTTCTGCAATTCGACTTAAAATGTGAAAACCAACATATGCCACTTTGCCTGTAATGAGTCTATATCATATGTCAACTGTATATTTATTATTTATTTGTATAACCGTACATATGTATATCTTTTAAAAAAAACTATCATAAAATTATTGGCTGCTCTTTCCGCCATAGGCAAAGCAACTGAAAAATTCACAAACTTTTCACCCGAGCTGCACAATATATCAACAACTTAATGTTATTGTGATATTGCAAACAACATGTTTTGTGTAAATCATATGGAGGAAACAAACTTTGAAAAGCCTTGTGATTAACTTAGCAAGAGCGGTTATCCCTTTTCATTTTGGCAAGAGCTGTAACAAGTTAAATTAATCACAACCGATTGATTATTGAGATAGTTTATTAATCAATTGCGTCGAACTGTTAACAGTTTAAAACTTTATGTGAAGAGAGTTTATTACAGAATGAAATGGAAATATGTCCAATTGTCTTACAACTTATCCATGTCCCAGAGTGCCATCACTTTAGATTTGTTTTGGTCGAATGTATGTATAATTCCAAATATTGGTAAGAATAATCTATTATCAAAGATAACCTAGACTCTTCTAAAGCTTTGATTAATAGTTAGTAATTAAGCTAGTAATTAATACGACAAAGTTTACTTCCATGTTACTTCCAAGTAACGCTGATTCATTGATTGAGGAAAGCTTCTTAATGGTTTTGTGCAATATGTTTGAATCCATGATAGTTTGATAGTTACATTTGGTTTTAAAGAAGTAACTGTTTTGAAAGAATTATTGCAGCCAACTTTTGAAAATCCAAAAAATAATAAAATAATAATGATAATAATAACAATCACTTCGTTTCTCATTCTCAAAAGAGATTGCTTCTATCACTAGTGTTTCACATGCCTCAGCTCTCAGTCTGTCAAAAGTAGTATATAAGATTTTGGTTTGATTTGTTAATATTTTTTTTACTTAAACAAGACTGACTTTCTGACAATGAATATGTATTTATGAAGGTAATGGTACTCCAGCTTTAAATTGAAGATTGCTTGACCATTGAATCTCCTATTCAACACATGCAGAAGCAGAGTGGTCAGTTCTGGGTCTAACAGCTCTCCTTGTGCTCTCCTCCCCCTCGCCTGCGCCCCCTGCTGGTGTCCTGTGTTTGGACGGCCTCATCAGGAAGCCCAGGCCCGTGTCCCAGCTCGTCACTCAGCAGCAGGTCACACAGCAGTTCGTTTTACCGTCGCAGCCAAAGAAGGAGAAGAAGGAACGCGTGGAGCGAGAAAAGGGCGATAGAGAGCCAGCGCTGAAGAAGAACTCGCACAAGAAGATGAGGTATGTGCAAAATAGTCCAGTTGGTAAGAATATAAAAAAGTTTCACCAAATCCTTTTACCTAAAAATATAACACTAACTTCCGGTCAGGTTCATTCTGTTGTCATTATAATGTGAAAATAGGAAAACACATTTATTTTACACTAAATGGTTTCACAACCCCTCAAACAATGAGTCAAAAAAAGTGTTAGCGGCTTCATTCAATATAATAATAACAATAATAATACATCGAGCTTGTATAGCACTTTTTTGGACACTCAAAGACGCTTCTCATGGGGAATAAAATACAATAAAATTAAAAAGGGGGTTTACAGAAAAGCTTGTTTGAAAATGGCCATTTCCACCTAGACTGAGTAAACTTTAAAGGACAACTGTACATGATCATCTATGAAGTAGAAATACAATTAAATCATTTGATAAATTTGTAATTTGCATAGCAGAATCAAAATTACTGCTCTAAAAAAATCTAAATGGTCATTCCCTAATGCAATGGAAAATTTGAATTTATTAATGTGAAACTCATTTATGAGATATGCGGTATGCGCAAAGTGAGATATATCAAGTGTGTTTTGTTATAATTGTTATAATAATTGCATAAACCCCAAACAAAACATCTCAGACAATTTAACTTGTGATAATTATGGCTTACAGAATAAACAATGATCGAATTTTCTGAGTGTTATCTGTATCCTCACTAGGTGTTGTAACCAAAGCACAACCCATCGTCATTATGTCCTTTCCGTTGCAGACCCAGGTTAAAAAACATCGACCGGAGCAGCGCGCAGCATCTGGAAGTGACCGTTGGGGACCTGACCGTCATCATCACAGACTTTAAGGAGAAGCCCAAGCCTGCCGCGCCCACTCCGCCCCCGGCCTCCTCCACCACCTCCAGTGCAGGCGCCTCGTCCGACCACCTCAGCCAGAACGGCAACAGCTCAGAGAACACCGAGAGGGGCCTGTCGCGCTCCTCCTCGCCCCGCGGAGAAGGCAGCTCCATCAACGGGGAGTCGCACTGAGAATGAGCCGCCAGATAAAAGCGCCAGAACGTGTGGTAATCCTTCAAGTTACACAGACTACTGCTGAAGTGAACTACTATACAACTCCACCAGTTTCCATTTGGATTACTTTGGATATTTTGGCTTCGAGATCAACTTTTTTTGTTACCGCCCAAGCAATATTGAACAGTTTGCCCTGAAGACTTTGAAAGTGCGTGTAAAGGGATCCAAGCCCACCACACTAGCCATATTGCAACATCCGAAGAGGTAGATCCGCGACCTATTTCGAACTTTTGAACTGAAGGATGTCTGACAGTTTGCGAACTGGATTCAGTCACAGCCCGTATTTCTGCACTTCAAAGGTTTATGACATTTTATTATGAATGCCAAGTGTGCAGCTTTGAACCAGCTATCTACAATCGACCTTTACGGAAACTCACTTTGGAGTTGTCAGAAGTCACTGTTCTGTTGCATCCTGTCCAACAAGACACATGCTTTTCTTTAAGGCGTCAAAATATCACGGAGTGGACTCTATTCATCTGAAACGGTTTAACTTAAGGATGCACCGAAACGATACTGGTATCGGATATCGGCTGATGTGGGAAGTGTTGTTGGATAGATCTCGTATCAACCCAGAATGTCATAGTGCACGGCTATTCAACTTATTTTCCCAAGGCCTGATTTTCTTGGATGCTCCATTTGCTCTGGCCCAGATGATTGTACAACAAAGCACCACATTGAACATTTAACAGTACATTTATCACACACTATCTAAACCAGTTACAATTGTTTTTTTATGGAAGATAAATACCAAATCTTGGACTGGGCTGTTTACCGTCCAGGTATAAACCAGTACTTCAAACAGAAAAAATATTTACTACTTTACTATTTTGAACACACAAATCCAACAAAAAATGGTTGGAATTATTAGGTTAAATTTATCTAAAATCAAGAATTTCCAATGGGACAAGCACTCTAAAGGAGGAAAAATTGCGACTGTACTTGTCTCATTGGAAATTCTTGTTTTATGTTTTTCTAAATGTACTTTAACCGAGATTATAAAAAAACAAATGTACTGTCACTTTTGGATTAGATTGCTTGGAGGGCCTGATTTGGCGAGTTGAACAGGCCTAGAGTTTAGGTCTGAACAATATGCACAACATTTCACATCTCCATATTCATGCCAGATATCTTGACGTAGCTACCAACATTTGAATAAGGTTCTCCTTTCTCCTATCTTATGATATAATTACAGGTTTGTAAAAAACCAAGCATTATTCATAAAAATCTTTATTTTGTGAAGCACTTAGAATTGCCTCTGTGGGAATGGTGCTATACACATTTTGGAGCGATTGATAATATAAAAGTTATCTGAAATCTACTGGAATTTTACAGGGAATGCCCTGTCGTTCATTTAGTTGCTTATATGGAAAATAATATCTCAAATATCAATACAGTAACAATATCTTTTAGCCCTAATAGAGTTCATTTTTACTTAAAGTTATGCTGTTGTTACTATATACAGTCTATGGTTGTTACTTGCAGGTTATAAATGGTTAAAAACACAATTGGACACATTTTTTCAACAATTTAGCAGTTATTTGTGTATATGGGTTTAGGCAGAAATTGAAAGCCGGTATCGGTATCTATTTAAGAAAGCTGGATTGGTGCATTCCTAGTTTTAAGACTGCCTCAAGTGCAGATTTTGAAGTGACTGTTTAAGATTTAAGTACATTATAGTCAATTATGTACAGTACAGTATGATTTTAACAAGAGTTTTAATGGAGTGAAAATCAGTTCAAAACATTTCACTCTTTTTTTCTCTCATAGCATTTGCAATTTGGACTCTTTTGATTTTCATTGGTTTTTTTTTGTTGGCAATGATTTAAATGTAAAAAAAAAATAACAATAGTGAAGGAAAGAAAACCGCTAAGTTGACATGAGTTTTATCAACTATTCCCTCATTACCGGTTTTGTTTATATAAGCAGTTTTGGCAGCGCGAGTGAGGCTTGCAGCGACACCGAACAAACTGCTGAGGTCACACATCACGCTCAACCGGACGCCATTTTGAATTTGTCAACTCCAAGATGCTTGTTTTTGGTCTTGAAATATGTCACAGGATATATTGTACAGGCTTGCGACGTTTTTTTGGACTTCAGGAACTGTCAATTTATGCAGATTATGTAGGATTTATCACCAGGAATAATACAACTATAGAATACAGAGATCAATAGGTTAAATATACGGCTATTCACAAATAATGTTGTTTTGATGTGGTCATACCAGTGTTTCTGTCCGGACTTGACCGGTTTTCATTTAGCACACCTTAAGCAGATGTGTTGTGGCATGATTTGGTCTCGATATATTGTGAGACAAACTGTGTTCCATAGTTCTTTCTTAGTTTCTTTTTCTTTTCTTATTTGTCAACGCTCATATACGGTCACAACACTAGCTGGGACTAGATGTTTGGGCTTGTGAGAACCGTGAAAATGTGTTTTTTTTTTATATTTAGTTGTGGCAAAAATGGAAAATACACTAGTATGAGTCACTTTTGTTTGCTCTGCCATGTTTAAAAATGTGGATTATTTGTCTGAATAAGAAAATTTACATGAAATCTGTTTTCCGTTGCTCTCTTTAGTCTACCCCAGAGCAGCTGTGGTTACTTAGCAGCGGAGTTATTGAACTGGGGCTGTAAATAACTTATTTTTGATCATGAATCAGTTGGGAGAACATTTGATGAAATCAAATGGTTTAATAATAACAGTGACAATAACAAATTATTATTATTAGTTTAAAGGAGCAATATGTAAACATTTGGCCAAAAGTGGCAATGTAACCTCCCCCACTCTCCCTGACTCAGGTTGCCAGATATGCAGACGAATGATTAGCTAATAACTTGAGAATTGTAATGAGACCTTTTTAGTTCTGCAGCCACATGTTACTTTACCAGTGAGATTAGCTTGACGCGGTGAATTCTGGCAACCCGCATCACAGACTTCGAAATTAAAACATTAAGATTTGGGGTTAGGGCTCTAAAACTAATTTTGAAGTTGAATTATCTCGGCTGTTCTATATTTGAGAAAAAAAACATGATTTTAAAAATGCCTTTTGACATATCAGGGCCATTTAATGACGTGACGATCTTACATATTGTTACTTCATCTGTTGAATATGGAATTTTTCATCAATTTGACCAAAACAAGCGATGCCACTCAAAAACATCTACATAGACTACATAGTATGTAATGAAATGAAAGGTGTTTTCTCACATGGAGCTGAAAGTTGTATAATGTCCAGTGATGTGAACATTGTCCAGATGGTGTCTGCAGAGGACAAACAGCAGTATATACATGGTTCTATACTGTAATGATTTATTTGGTTGGGACAGTGTGTATTTATGAACAGCAGATGGTGTAAAATACACAGATCGTAGCCTTGGGCAAATTGCCATGATGTCCCACAGTTGTTCATTCTGAAATGTTTGGTTTTTAGTGGTGAGGGAAACTGAAGCACCTGGAGGATACCCACGCAGACACAGGAAGAACACTGACAAGCTCCGTCTGGAGGTGGAATCGAACCCACACCATGCTCCCAACAACACACAATGTAAAATTACTTTGTGCTGTTTGTCTGGCACTTGTAGGGTGTCTCGCAGATCCTGTTACATGGGGTGAGACGCGAAATGCAAGAGTGCAAATAATTATGATAAATAAACCATAATATATATATATATATATATATATATAATCAAACCAAATATAATTAATAGTTACCTAATGTAACTTACGTTCCACGAATAGGTGCGTAGTCCCTTAGGACTTCGCTAGTGGGATATCACTCGTGACCCCCAGGTCACGCGCCAGAGAGATCAAAATAATTTGCTCCAATCACCAGCCACCCTCCTCTAAAGGCCCCTGCACAAGGCCGCACCCCCTCTTGAACTCTGCCAAGCCGGGCTGGCCTGATGGGCTCGTAGCTAAGGGACTACGCACCTATTCGTAGAACTTAAGTTACATTAGGTAACTATTCATTCTACGTCATGGTGCTACGTCCCTTAGGACTTCGCTAGTGGGACACAACGCGGAGGCCGTAGGAACATGTACTCCCAGCAGGCCAGCGAAGGGTGATTGGAGCTCCGCCCAAGCAAGACCCTCACACAGTGAGAGGACTCAGGGCAGAAGAAGCAAATGCGTGTTACAGGGCCACTCCTACCAAGGATACCCCCACGTAACACAGACCGTAGGTCACCCGTAGTCCCAGGACGTCTCTCCCAAGAGCTCCTGAACCAGGGCGGAAAGTCAACCGAAGGCCCCCTCAGAGGAGGGACCTAACGGTCTAACTCAGTCCGCTGCACTCAGCACGGAATGGGCCACCGACCGGTCCGACACATCCAAAAGATAAGACCGGACGAAAGAAGAGGACGACGCCCAAGAAGCCGCACGGCAGACGTCCTCGACCGACACCCCCCTGAGAAGGGCCGTAGAGGCCGCCATCCCACGCGTGGAATGCGACCTGAAGCCCACCGGGAGGGCCAGACCCTGCGTCTGATACGCCCGCCGCACAGCCGTGGCGACCCAGTGCGCCAGCCGCTGAGCTGACAGCGGGGCGCCTCTGTTCTTGGGGCCCAGACACACAAACAGCTGGCCACCCAACCTGAATGACGACGTCATGGCCAGGTAATGCCTCAGCATTCTGACAGGACACAGAAGGTGCCGCCGCTCCTCCTCGGGGGAGGCATGCGGTGGCGGAAAGAAAGCCCTAATCCTGATGACTCTCGACCTAAAGGCCGACGTGATGACCTTGGGGAGAAAGGCCGGATTGGGCCACAATTCCACCATGCCGTCGCCTTCTCCAAAGGACAGGCAAGACGCATGGACAGAGAGCGCACACAAGTCGCCCGCCCTCTTAGCAGACGCCAACGCCAGCAAGAGGGCCGTCTTAAAGGCGACACACTCGGGACTTGCCTCTGCCGCCGGTTCAAAAGGCGGACTCGACAGCCCCCTAAGGACCACCCTGAGGT